GGTGATCTAACCACGTGTATCCTACATACATTCTTTCCCCTTGATCTCATATTCTCATTTTTGTTTGACTTTGAATGACATCTCTGCATTCAAAATGAAGGCCTAAGTCATGAATACACTATACATTCTTGTAAGCCTTTACCTAAAGGGAGAATGGATATCTTTAGGTTTGATTCATGAATAGTATTAGGTCATTACTGATGCAAGTAGACAAATTTGCTGAGAGATGTATTTTTAGTGCGTATTCACTAAAATTTGCTGAGAGAGGTCTAATTTTTATTTTTAGTGCGTATTCAACAAGTCACTTTTTGTCAGATAAATATTATATTTGAAAATCATTTATGTACTTGAATAATTATTTGTAATTAAAATAAAAGATGAGTATTATTATGAAAAGGCCTTGCTCTTGGTCCGGTACTCTGACGAGAATACTCTTGTTCTGTTTAGTGTACTATGCACACTCCTGAAATTATGTTTAGAGGAAATAATGTCCTCCTGTTTAGTGTACTTCGTACACTCCTGTTCTGTTTAGTGTACTTTGTACACTCCTGAAATATTTTTAGAGCACTATTACTCTTCTGTTAAGGTTCGGGTCTCTTCGGTGATCTCGTCCTTTCTGTTCAGCTAGCTTCTGTCAGGGATTGGTACGTGTAGCTCCGGCGATTACGTTTCCATATTCCTTCTGGGTAATGTGGATACGGACTTCGATCGACCGTATTCCTTACCGTTAGTATTCCTCGATCTAGGTCCAGATTCTAGAGTCCAAGGCTAAATGAATATGTATTTTTCAATGATAAGTTTCAGAATAAGAATTATCTGATAATTATGATATCTGAATATGCTTCTGTTCTGCACACAAGAAGAATATATTAATTATCTCAGAATAAAATTATCTGACATTTATGATATCTGGGTATGATTCTATTCTGTATGTAAATATCTGTATTTTTACAACAGCTGCTCGGTTCACCCAGGTATGTTATATGTTTGTATGATCAGATGTAAATTATGATATGTTAATATGTTCTTTAATATGTTAATATTATTGTTATGTTATTACCGTACCACTCAGCACATTGCTGAGCGGGTAGTTGTGTGTTTTCCTACCCGTAGTTGTCCTAGGAGCACAGGGATGGAAAGAGGCGTAGGACGCATTTGCATGCCATGTTATTTGGGTTTTTGTTATAAAGGACTTTAATATGTCATATGTGATTTTAAGAACTTCCGCTGCACTCCTTGAAGTGTTTTATAATGTTTAAGTTATGTCTGTTTTAATAACATTCTACTCCATGTGAGTTTGACATTTTCTGGTATTTAGTATTGAAGTCGTTTTGGAATTAATACACTTTATTTTAAGTAATAAAATCTCTTATTAAATGTTTTGTGTTTAAAGTAAAAAAAAGGCACTATTTCTTGAATCACGAAAAGTATTTTTGATTAAATCCGTTCCGATTTTCCGCCAAGTGACGCGCCACTCGGGTCGGCAGGGTCGGGCCGGGTGGGGTGTTACATTCGAGCCATTTCCAAAATGCACCCCAAAGAAATGAAGCCATCTTCTTTTCAAGAGTAGAAATACTCTTTTAGGAAATGTGTCTCACTGTGTGTTGCCCCTAAATGTCTTGATACATATCATAGTTATTATATGTTTCTGATCCTTAAATGCTTTTTGGTTTTGAGCCGCTGCCGCTTATTACTATTACTATTATTATTATAATAATAATCATCATCATCACCATCATCATCATTATTAATTAATATATGTCAGTTTTCTCCAATGGCTTAATGTTTTAGCAATAAAGTTATAATAATATTTACTTAAGTTACTAGTCTTATTCTTTACCTTTATGATTTATTATATATACGTATGCAACATACTAAAAGAGAGTGTTATGCTTTTTGATAAATACTACTACCCCTGTCCTAAAAAAAATTGTCATTTCTTAAATTTCGAATCATGATTTTGATTAGTATAATATTATGGAAGGTATAAATTTTATACTTTTATGAAAGTGCTTTTAACAAAGAACATTTTCATATAATTTTTGTATTATAAATAATTTCCAATAAAAAGATATAGTTTGTCAAAGTTTTGAAAATGACAAAGTTTTTTGGGACAGAGGTAGTACTACGTATAAAGTTGTTTTCATTTACAGACTCAAATACAAAATCATTATTGTATCATACATATAACTTTATTCTCATTAATTCTGATACACGTCTAGTACCAAAAGGCTCGTTATATCTTGGATGGATTTTTCTTATGCCGGAAATAATTCATTAAGACTGCGACTAGCGCGTTGTTAAGCTATATAATCCTGTTTTGTGGGGTATTGTGGGTGAAATGGATCACGTTGCTTGAAAAGGTGATAATAAGTTCCTTACCTTATAACTATTACTCAATTTGGTTATTACTTTTCAAGCATGATTTTTTAATATTTTACTACTATTCAGCAATTGCATTCTACTACCTCATCCCCAAAGAAAGAGCCATGTTTCTAATACGATATTTATATATACCATTTGTGTTGGGATTCTAATTATGTCAAAGGTGGTGAATTTATTGGCAAGGAGGGCACTAAGAGCACTGAAGGGATGTATGAAATTTCAAGCATTAGTGCGATGATGTATAGTTTGAAGGCAAAGTGCAAAAATACTCCACTACAATGAGCCAATTAAAGAAATTAAATTATCAAAATGCATTAAGGAAACTAGTGAAATTGGGGGAACATCACAATTGTTTAAAATAAAATGGATATAGAACACCACGAAAAAAGGACACAATACAAGTAGCAATTAAAAAAATCTTTAACCTCATATTAGTAGCATTTGTGTTCGAAGACGGAGGTTATACATTAGAGTATTGACAAACTTTAGGGTCAAATAAATAAGACGCCCAACAAGTCTGCGATAGGGTTCTGGATCCGTGAGGACTTCCCCTGTTGCAAGAGCAAGAGAATGATTTTGGGAAAGAGGCGTGCTGGCCGGCTTTGCCCCTAGAAGACCGGTGTCAGCAATAATATCCAGTGAATATTTTCGTTGGCACAAGAACAGACCGTCGGCGTTGCGGGCAACCTCAACTCCCAGAAAATATTTTAATGTGCCCAGGTCCTTCATGTGAAAGCAAGTACTCAAGTAACTCTTGAAAGAGCATAATGCAGACGAATCATTTCCAGAAATAATTAAATCATCGACATACACCAGAATGGATAGCTGCACAGTGCCCCGCTGAAAAGTGAAGAGAGAATAGTCCGAGTAGCACTGTCGAAAGCCATAAGTTTTTAGAGCACTGGTGAGCTTGGCAAACCAACAGCGAGGAGCTTGACGTAAGCCATACAAAGATTTCTTGAGGCGACAGACCAAACCGGGGGAGCTAGGGGTAAACCCAGGTGGCAATTTCATGTATACTTCTTCGTTAAGATCCCCGTGAAGAAAAGCGTTATGGACATCCATTTGGTGGATCTCCCAATTTTTGGCAGCAGCAACTGCAAGAAAAGTACGCACCGTAACCATTTTAGCTACGGGAGCAAATGTCTCAGTATAATCCAAGCCGGCTACTTGATGATTGCCTAGAATAACAAGGCGCGCTTTGAGTCGCTCTACACTCCCATCGGAGTTGTACTTGATTTTGTAGACCCATTTACATCCCAACGCTTTCTTGCCAGGGGGTAGCGGAGTCATAATCCATGTCCCATTGTCCTCTAGAGCACGGATCTCGGCTGCCATGGCCGTGCGCCATCCTTCATCCTGCATGGCCTCGGCAAAAGAGCGGGGTTCCTCACCGGCGTGGACTGCAGCTATAAAAGCACGATGCCGGGCAGAAAAATTGTTAAAACTGATAAAATGTGCTAAGGAGTGGGACGTACCTGGGGAAGAAGATGGGACCGGTGAGTGCAGAGAGGGGCTCGTACTACCAGTAGCATGGGTGATGAATTCCCGGAGCAGAACAGAGGGCCTTTTCTCCCGGTGTCCGCGACCTAAAACTGGAGCAGTGGAGGACGTCTCCTCCCCCCTTATTTCGGTCTCAGCATTACCCGAGGGGTCAATTAAAGTGGCTGAAGTTGTAGTGTGCTCATTCCCTGCACCCATAGTTTCGGATGAAGAATTGTCATCAATAGCGGCGGAGGAAATATCTTCAATGTCATCATCAAAGCCTATGATGGGAGAAGGAAGAGTGGAACTAGTTGGCGCAGTAGATTCCGCAAAGGGGAAGATTTGTTCATGAAACAAAACATCACGTGACACAAAAAATTCTTCTGTGTCCAAATCAAATAACTTCCATCCCTTTTTCCCATTAGGGTAACCAACAAAAATACATTTGCGTCCCCTCGGTGCAAATTTGTTCCCTTTAGCACGTTGATTGTGTGCAAAGCACAAACATCCAAACACACGCAATTCATCATACGTCGGGGGCCTCCCGCACACCAACTCAAACGGTGTTTTATTTCCAAGAAGACCCGAGGGTGTGCGATTAATTAAATAAACTGCACCAAGAATACACTCCCCCCAAAACCGGATAGGTAACCGTGCTTGAAACATGAGAACACGAGCAACATTAAGAATATGTTGATGTTTCCGTTCTACCCTGCCATTTTGTTGGGGAGTTCCAACGCAAGAAGTTTGAAATAAAATACCACGGGTAGCAAAAAAATCAGCCATGCAAGTAAATTCCGTACCATTGTCGGTACGCACCCTTTTGACAGACGTCTCAAATTGGCGCTCCACCATAGCCAAAAATGAAGAAAAAACTTTTTGGACTTCATTTTTGGTACGCAACAGATATACCCATACCGCACGAGAAAAATCATCCACAATGGTCAAAAAATACACAGCATCACAAGAAGAAGGAGTGCGGTTGGGTCCCCACAAATCACAATGTAATAATTCAAAAATGCGAGTTGCTTTATTGTCACTAATAGGAAAACTGTCACGTTTTTTCTTTGCCATAGGGCATGCCATACACGGCTTATTCAAAGAGTTGTTACTTAAATTACAACCAACAGCTGGCACTAACTTGAGAACTCTATCGGAGGGATGTCCCATGCGGCGATGCCACAAGTCAAAATCTTCAACCGTTGAACCTGTCAGCAATTGAATGGTAGGAATACTCCGGTAGTAGTAGAGTCCGTCCCTTCTCTCACCGGCTCCAATCAGGTTCCCCGAGAGTCGGTCCTGTATAGCACACAAATTATCAGTGAATTTAACAATACATTTCATATCATCAATAAGTTGTGCAATAGAGATCAAGTTGCACGTTAAGTGTGGTACACACAACACATTTTTCAAAGTAAGATATTCAGATAAATAGACGTTGCCGATCATCTTGGCCGCAACTCGCTGCCCATTAGGCAAACCAATCGTCCAATTTTCAACACTTGTAAAGTTGGTCAAAAATTCAACATTACCGGTAACATGGTGTGTGGCCCCGCTATCAAGAATCCAAAAAGAAGAACGAGTCTTACCAGTCATACGGTCAACAATTTTTTCATCAGAATTATTAATTAAATTGAGAAGTGCCTGCACTTGCTCCGGTTTAAACTGCCCCACAGAACTTTCAATTCCTCCTCTCGGACCTTCGTCCATTACTGCATGAGCATGTGCCTGTTTCTTCCCAGCTTGTGCACCACGTCCAGAGGACTGCCCCTTGTTGCCCCGGTTTCTTTCCGCCCACCATTCGGGATAGCCGTGGAGTTTGAAGCAGCTTCCTATCTCGTGGCCTTTCTGCTTACAATGGCTGCACACTAGCTTGGTTTTGTCCACTCGTTCACCCCTGGGAAAATCTGCCCGCAATGCAAAGGCATGTGGGTCTTCTTGTACAGTTTTGCCACGTGCTATGTCCCTTGATTTCTCTTCTTGAAGCATTGCGTGGTATGCTCTGTCCAGTGTGACTGGAACTGTTTGAGAGAGCAGGTTAGAGCGAGTCACAGAGTAATATTCGTCGTCTATCCCGACCAAAAACTGATGAAGTTTTTCTTCTTCCCGATCGGCGGCGAATTTTTCCGCCACTTCACAAGTACATGCCCCACAATTACAAGCGTGCAGCGGCTTTAAGCGTCCCAGTTCATCAAAGAGAGACATGAGCCGATTGAAATAATCATCAACGCTCATCCCTTTGGTCTGCCGGCACCCGACGATGTCCGCGCGCAATTGTTGGAGCCTAGGACCATTCGCGACACAGTACCTTTTCTCAAGGTAATCCCATAGCGGTTTGGCCTCCACATGAAACGGAATAGTTCCCGCAATTTTGCCGTCAATACTGCGAAGAATCCATGATACAATCATAGAATTAACCGTCTCCCAAGTAAGCATTTGTCGCGGTACCGTCGGCTTCTTAATCGTGCCATCCACGAATACAAACTTTCTTCTGGCTTTTAACGAAAGTGTTATCGCTCTAGACCAAGCTACGTAGTTATCGCCGGTAAGAATTACATGGGTTATAAGATTACCGGGCTGATCTCCGGCACCCAAGTAATACGGAGAGGTCACATCTATCTTCTCGTCGCCGGACATGACGACGGAACAACTTCAACGCTGATGCAGTTCCCGTCTTCGTTCGGCAGTGTTCTGCGACCAAGAATAATAGCCAAGTTCACGCACAAAGGTATTACGAGCGGCGTGCTCTGATACCATGACAAACTTTAGGGTCAAATATGCATGCCTTTCATTACGTAGTAGGAGTAGTATTTATACAGTAGTTTACATGGACTTCACTAATAGCAGCCCTACGGTCCAAGACTATTTACAAACATATGGGCTAAATAAATATTATGCTCAATAAGTATTTCATTAAGAAAGAAAAACAAAATTTCTTGTAACATTAAATACGCAAATGCCATATATGATGTCTGGAAAGGTGAGAAACAAACTTATGTGAATTTGAGGAAGGATGATAACGGTTCGTTGTTGCATAAGAACCAGGAGTGAGTGACGTAAATAGAGAAAACAGAGAGAGATGTAGTTTGCAAGTAAAAGGGTTTGAGGAAGGTAATGGTATTAAGGGAATAGAGAAAATGACAAAAAAGAGGCGAGAGAAAATCTGAAATTAAAAGGGATAATGCACTAAATTCCTCTTAAATTATAAAAAGCGGCACTTCATATTCCAAAAACACGACTCTCGAGAGAAAATGGTAATTTGCTATCATCTTATCTTTAAAAGGTTCAATGTCTTGAGGTTAGTATGATTCAGTTCCGAATCTGGTAGCTCATACTATACAATATCTTATATGTCAAATCCAAACAATTCGAAAAAATCGATGAAACTTGCAACAACAATGTTGTCAAAAGAAGGAAAGGGTCTTCATATTTGGAGACGACCACTCAATCCTTTGAAGATTAAAAGAAGCCTTGTACAATAACATTATACACATCCAAATCGAGAAGCCACGTTTTTCATGAATCGTATCACTACAACCGTATAATAAGTCAGCCATGGATCTTGGGTTTTGTTGTATGTCGTAATAAAAATGTGGAGAAATAAAGAGTGGTTATGCCAATCAAGGGTGGAGATAGGGAGGGACTGGAGAGGGCCTCGGCCCCTGCAAGAAAAAAATTCTCAAATATATATTATGTAAAAATACTTTTAATCTATAGAAAATATGATGATATTTTAAAATTTGGTCCCTGCAATGTAAAATTTTTAAAGTCCGACCCCTTTAACCATAATTTTTTGGCTCCGCCACTGATGCCAATGGTTTTCAAAGATGACCGGACAGAGAAAGAGTGAATTAACGAGGTTGAAGATGAGAGGTAAGATGGATTCATGGAGAATGAATAACGAAAATATAAGTTAATGAATGATTAAGTACCGCACTAAAGTGAAAGAGTTGAAGAAAATTTCTTGTTGTACACAGAATTAGTACGTAACTTGTTTGCAATCCACTAGTTGCCTGTGTACAAAGACGATTCGTTTAAAAGACAAGATTTTATGTCAAAATGACTATGTATACAGATAGTGTACAATTTGTGTACACCAAGAATTGCTGAAGAGTTAATAGTAAGGAGGTGAGTGAGATAGAAACTAAATGTGAGGTGGATGAAAGTATTAAATGAGATGGTAAATATATTTAGTAGAGAATACAAAAATGGAAAATATTAGAGAATAATATGATAATTATATGTGACGTTTTTGTCAATATAGAAGAGGGCTTCTTTAAAGAAGGGTTAATGCGTAAAATTTAAATAGGATTATAGGCCTGGTATTAGGAATTAAAATTTAAAACAACAATTAACCGAAAATTAGTGGATGTTTTCAAGTTAACCGGTCACACCTCGCAATTCATACCGTGGGATCAGTGCACCATCCCCATGGTGTACCGATCCCAAAACGACATAGTTTTAGAAGCTCTTCTGTTCATCTTAATCTTATTACTTATTGCTTATTCTTATTTTATTCAGATCAGATCAGAAAAATTCAGATCAGATCAGAAAGATTCAGATCAGATCAGAATCATTCAGATCAGATCAGAAACATTCAGATCGGATCAGGAACATTCAGATCAAATCAGGAACATTCAGATCAAATCAGAAAAGTTCAGACATGATTTATCCATTTTATTATAATAATAATTATAATAATATTAGTAATAATAATAATTATTATTATTCTTGTTGTTGTTAATGTAATTATTATAATTACTATTACTATTGATATTATTATTAGTATTATTATTATTCTTATTATTATTATTATTATTATTATTATTATTATTATTATTATTATTATTATTATGATTATGATTATTATTATTATTATTATGATTACTATGATTACTATGATTATTATTATTATTATTATATTTATTATTATCATGATTATTATTATTCTTACTACTATTATGGTTATTGTTATTGTTATTAGTTTTGTTTTCGTTATTATCATATTATACGGAGTAATTACAATTAAAATTATAGAAATAAATATTATAATTATAAATAAATTTATAATTATAGAAATAAATATATCTATAAATATAATTACAATTATAATTATAGCTATATTTATAACTAGTGTAATACGTATAATAATAATTATACCTATTATAATTATGTTTATAATTATAATTATAATTTTTATAATTATGATTATAATTATAATTATATTTAAATTATATATGTGTAATTACATTTATAATTATAGTAATTATAATTATAATTATAATTTTAGAAATATTCAAATCAGATCAGAAACATTCAGATCAGAAAGATTCAGATCAGATCATAAAAATTCAGATCAGATCAGAACTTAAAAAATTCAGATCAGGTGAAGAGTACAGCTTCTTAGTCCGTATTGATTAAAAAAACAGGTATCTTTTGTTGAGTAAAAAATGTCGCCATTGTTATTACGCTGGATTGAAGAGGCTATGTGCATTCCTTCGAGAGAGCATATGAAGTTGGTCATGACACTCGTTGTTGAGGAAGTGGCGGCGATGCAAGTGCTCATCCTCGAGGCGGCGGTGCAGCGGAGCTCAGCCTAGCTTGATAGCAGATTTGATGCGTCAATCTCATCCACGCAGTCCATCGAAGCCATGCTCTGTTCATATACAGAAACTTCTAAGACTATTCTATTTGATATTTTTCTTGTGCATGTAGGGTTTGATTATTGAGAACATCTCTTCATCTAATACTCTGAAAGAAAGAAGGTGAGAGAACTCACTGGAATTTTGCTTATTAACTTTTAAGAACTCAATTGGAATTTTTATTATACAATTTACATGTTGAAGGTGACTGCCATGAATTATTTTAGACCTTTCTCAATTTACATCTTGAGCACACTTAAGTTACATCTGGATTTGCTTAAAGTTACACATCTATAAGCTTGAGTTACATGTCAACTTTTCTTAACAAATTACATCTCACTTATACGTGATTTATATTTTCTATAATGCGAGTTACACCGCAATATAATGCGAGTTACACAACACAATATAAGCCCCTTGTTGTTCAAAGATTTTTTTTAATAAAAAATCATATTTATTGCCTTGATATTGAAAACAAAACATATACACTATTTATTAGACTATTTTTTCATTGTTTACATTGAAATCAATGTTTTACTTCTTATACTATGTATTTGAGAAGTTACATTTCGATCAGACTTGAGTTACATTGATCAATAACGTAAGTTTCATTTCTTTACAAGCGAGTTACATCGTTAATACTACTGGGGCAAAAAGAAAAGAAAAAACAGTTACTGTTCACATGTTTCTGTTCACACGAATTTCTTAAAAAAATTGTACAAAATTATGTCGTTTTGGGTGTGGAGCACGGTGCTCACCGTGGGATGATCCCACCATATACGACCTGATCACACCTGCTCACCTATTATACCTAATTCTTTCAAATCATTTTTAGCACCGTAATCATCATCATCATAGCATAATGATTGCCTACGCGAATACCTAAAAACCCCTTCCTTGTTCCTTCGTCTTTACCAAAAAGAGGTACACATGTCTGCTCTCAATTCTCATAACCATTTGCAGGTGACTTTCACCTTTCTTCACTTTCACACTATTGTCATTTTTTCAACCACAACACCGACTTCTTCGCCACTTGTTTTATTTTAATGTTGTAAACTTCAAGCTTAATCTTATGCCACCTTTCAATTCACCCTCGTTTACCTATATTTTGGCAACCATTATTATGCCTCACCAACATTATTTTTGGACTTATTGTTCCGCTCCATTTCATCCCAAATAAAGTTCATACTTTGATTTTGATAATTTTTTTTTTTGACGTTGCCATGAAATCCCTCAAAAAGTAAATTA